AAAATGGATTCACTTATCCATCAATATAATACTTGATCAAGAGGTGTAAATATGTATAGTCTAAAATGTTTAGTTCATATGTAGCAAGAGATTTTATGACTTCAAAGTGCTTCTGCGTCCTTGTACCAAATAAAGAATTATGACTCAATGTCACACCATTAATGGTACTGAGGTTACTCTGGGGCCAGGAGGAGTTTTGTCAGGATAAGCAGCAAGAAAAGAGAAACTGATCCTAGAAATGTAGTCAAAGGGACTTACTTAGCACCCTGGGGGGTTGTAATGGGAGATGTCTTTTCCAGTCTATTTTAATAGTTTTGATTATTTCAGATGGATTTAATCAATGAACAAATTCTACAGCATCTTTAAAAACGTATTTTCTGATGGGAATAGATGCAGAGACCCATAGCCAAAAATATTAGGTGGACCTCAGAGAATCCTGCAGAAGAGGGGGAGGAGCATTGGAGGATCCAGAGGGTTCAAGGACACCACAAGAAAACTCACAGAATCAACCAACCTGGGCTCATTGGTTTCACAGACATTGCATTGACAACCAGGGAGCCTGCTTGGGACTGACCTAGGCACTCTGTATATATGTTACAGTTGTATAGCTTGGTCATTTTGTGGGGCTTCTAACAGTGGGAGCAGGGGGCTGTCTCTGACTCTTTTGCCAGCTTTTGAGAACCTATTCCTCATACTCGGTTGCCTTTGTCAGCCTTAATTCCCAAGAGGAGGTGCCTAATCTTACTGCAACTTGATATGCCGTGTTTTCTTGATATCCATGGAAGGCCTGCCCTTTTCTGAAAAGAAGTGAAGGAGTAGATGGGAGGGTAGAGGAGAAATTGATGAAGGGACTTGGAGGAGAGGAGGGAAGGGAAGCTGCAATTGAGATGTAAATAATTATTTTTTTTAAGATAGGAACTTGGTTTCTTCTAGATATCAAGGCTCAAGGAACATTCTGGTATAGGGGACAGAAAGATTGCAAGAGCCAGAGGATCAGGAAGAATGCTAAGAGATTGTACTCTCTGGTGGCTACAGGAAACTACACCCATGACATAAACAACATGGCTCTCTAAACAAGACATGAACAGTTCAAAAACCAGCTGACATTTCAGTGTGGATTGGGAAAATCTCATGGAGATCCATGTCTAGATGAAGAGCTATAGATAATGAACAGCTTTAGAAGGGGGATAAATTCCTTCCCCAGGGATGAGCCCCCTGTGTGGTGATCCAAATAACAGTCAGCCCTGGAAATAGACAGATTCATCAAATTGTATTTGTATGTTAATCAATTTACATGTCTATGTAACAACGAATGGTAAAAGAATTTGGGAGAGAGAAAGGATATGACCGGGGAAGGATAAGAGGAAGAGAGAAGAGAGGGATAGTGAAGTGATAAAATTATATTCTAATTGAATTAAGAAAAATAAATGCGCCAGGCAGTGGTGGTTCATACCTTTAATACCAGCACTCGGAAGGCAGAGCCAGGCGCATCTCTGTGAGTTTGAGGCCAGCCTGGTCTACAGAGCAAGATCCAGGACATGCACCAAAACTACACAAAGAAACCCTGTCTCGAAATAAACAAAAAACAAAAAACAAAAAAAAAAAAAAGGAAAAAAGAGAAAGAAATGCAAAAAAAAAACCCAACAAGGTTCATTATGTGAATTTTTGTATTTTAATATGTATGAAAAACACATCCACAAATCACTCTTTTAATCATCCATAGGAGCATAATATCCAAATTAGTTTTTTTTAATATTAACAAGTGGATGATAAGAACATGACTCATACTAGTGTTGAAATTTTTGTACTTGATATTCCATGAGTGATGTTTCTCTATAGTTTTGTTGTTTTTAACCAACACTTAAATAGTACCTATTGTTATTATATGATAAAGTCTATTGAAATTTGTTGTATTTGCTCATGTAATATTATTACAAAATAAGTTAATTTTCTGACCTTAGGAAAAAAAAAGAAAAGCAGAAACAAATATGTACCATATCACATTAATGTTATTACTGAAGCTAGCATTCATACTTGGGAATATGGTATATAATGACATGGTATAGAGTCTCTACCAGCTGGTTGATTCTTTCAGGAAGACTATGTGGAAGGGACCTACTCAGCTTTGTCTGTATATCAATTGTAATTTCTGAGGTTATGAATTGAGAGCTAACACAAGAGCAGTAAACTGAACTGTCTGAAGTGAAGTTCTAGAACTGCATTCTTAATACTTAGAAGATTCCCCTGCAGCAGTGACTGAAGATAGAGAGAATACCAGAAGATGCTCATGGATTAAAGAAATATGAATATACCAAGACTGATGGGTTATAAAGTAATAAATGGGTGATCTTGGCTTGAAACAGACAAAGAAGGGCTCATTGATATAACACGATGCTGGGGAGCTGATGGGAAATATAGTTTTCCTCAGGTAGCATGTTAATGATGATAGCAAGGACACACAGTATGAAAGACTCCTCACAAACAGTAAGGGAGTGTGAGCAAGTATGACATAGGCTCTGGTAGCTTGGTTGGTATCTATCCCTAAGGCACAGTGGAGATAGCTTAGTTGAGATATTATCCATTAGGTATACAAATAGAACAGAGGGCTGTTTTGTTTTGTCTTGCTTTTAACTTTAACTTATTTTTAATAGAAAGTGACATAATTTTTGTTTATTGAATGAGAGACCATGTGTCTGTGTAAAAGAAGCTGGAGGGAAAAGTAGATAAGAGTTTAAGAGTTGATGTTTTAAGAAAAATCAGGATGCTAACCTGTCAAGGCAGTTACAGGATGGTTCCATAAAAAGACAGCATTCAATGCAAAGGTGTTTCTTTATATCAGTAAAACCTAAAAAAGGATTTGCACAAGTTCCAATTTAGACACTAAGTAATACTGATAGTAATAAAAATACTGATAATGATGGATAGGACTAGGCATTACTTGCAGTTTCTTGGCATTGTCTATAATTCCCTATAAAAAGTTACTGTAACATACTTTTCCCCTATTCAGATGGCTTGAAATCCCAAAAATCATCTCAGTGATAAATACATACTATTGAAATTCTAAAACATTATTTCTTTATCTAAATAGTGTATTTTTTTTGAAAGTACAGATAGAAGGATGATTGGTCCCTCTGTCCTGACAGTTCACGGTCTGTTTGGTGTTTGTGCTGTATCCCCCAGTTAGCAAAGATGACTCGTTCAATATAACAACTTGGATATATGTGATATTAACTATTTACAAGAAATATTGTTACATATACATTTCTCTGTATGAATATATATGTGTGTTTGTTTATATTAAATATGTATGTTTTACATATCATTGGAAATGTCTACAGATCATAACATGACTTAGTGAAGACTTTTGTTATAATTTGTAATATCTTGTCTTTTTTTCTTTATTCTAAACTAAGAATAGTAGTATTGGGCAAAGTATTTGGAAGAGATAGTTTTAAAGTTCTTATAAAATAACATATATATGAAGGTATAACAGTAAAAACTGTCCTGCTTTGCTTAGTACCTAAATCTATGCACAATTTTCAGAAACCAAGAAAAGATATAAATATTTTGGTTTGGCTATAATGATTTGCTATGCCCCAAACCTATGAGGAATTAGGCCCAGAGACCAAGAGGTCCTCTCCTGCTGTTGGACAGTGCAAATATTTCATATCATTTTTCTTTCTTGGTTTCTTTAATATTATTTTCTAATTAAAGGCTTCCTAATGGTCAGAGGCCATTGTTGATTTGTAAATTGAAGTTACATATCATTTAACAGTCTCTAAACCTTTTAGCTTCTCTATTGATATTTTAATCATGAAATTCAAGCTTCCACAGTGAGCAGCTGAACTCAAGCAAATGGTACCTGATGTTTTCTTTGGTATGTAAATCAATGAAGATATTGTGGTGCCTTTCAGTTCAATGATCTATGTACTGGAAACATAGTTTTAAAATGTATGTGATATATGTATCAATTACACTAACAACTCTATTGTTGCCTACATTTTAAAGTTCATTAACATTTTTATATTTTATGTACATACACTTATTAAACAGGAAACATAATTTCATGCATAAAGTTGCAAATATTAGAGGAATTCAAAGAGAGTTCTCATACATGTTCCATTTGATAAAATCAAGTTAAATACAATCGTTTTAGTCATCTCAAATGTTTGTCATTTCTATACCTTAAAAATTTAATAAAACTTTTGTCTAGCCTTTTGAAAGCTGAAGCACATTGTTTTATTATGATCACCTTGCTCTGCATCAGTGCACCAGAACTTATTTTCTCCATGTAACTGGAAGTCAGTAAGCATTGATGAAACTTCACCTCCTCTCTCTACATCCCCAAACCTCTTGTAAACTCCCTTAAATCTTCAAATTCTATGAGGTCTATTAGTTTAGATCACACATGTATGTGAGGTCATTTGGTATTTGTCTTTCTTCAGATGTCTTATTCCACTTAACACAAGGAACTCTGAGACTTTGTGTTCCTTCAAACACAAGGATTCCAGTATTTTACATAGCTTCTTGGTATCACACTGTGTTTATGTACTATGTTGTTTTTTTCCACTTATTAGTGAATGGTTACTTAGCTTCTTTCCAATTCTTGGCTCATGGCAGTAGGGCTTTCTTGCCTCCGCAATGTGGATGTCTCTTCAACATTTTCTTTTATATATGTACCCACTCACCGTAGACTTACTAGACCACAATTTTCCTTTATATTTACATTTAAAAAATAAATCTTGTATCGTTACCATAAAATAATGCTAACATCATTGCCAATGGCTTGCAAGGGTTCTCTTTATTTGCCACCTTTGTTCAGTCTTTATGATGATAACATCCTTGGTGAGTTGAGGGTAATCATTTTCTCTTGGGCTTGAAACTGCCCAGTTATGCTGCTTAAGTAATTGTTGGGCGCAAAGCGTACTCAAAGCATTTGTAGAACAGTCAAATATGATTTTCACCCCTGTAAAGGAAAGTGACACTGTGTTATTTTGCAGGTGCCTACGTGCTCCAGGTCAAGGCCACCGATGCAGATGACCCCACCTATGGGAACAGTGCCAGAGTTGTCTACAGCATTCTTCAGGGTCAACCTTATTTCTCCATTGATCCCAAGACAGGTAAACCTTTACTTTGGCACAACCTTATCACCACTCACTCAAGTAATTCAACTTTAATGAAATCTTGGAATCAAATATCATCTTTTCCAATATAGCAGTAAAGAATCAGTGAGCTATCATTGGACAAAAGAGAAACCATCTTGCATGACTGCGGGAGATGTTTTCTTTTGCTGAGTAAATAAATAAATATTTACTGAGATTTGTGTAAATATAAATGTTTGCACCTGTATTTAAAAGGTCCGACATTGTTAGCTAAAAGTCTTTTTTAAAAAATTTCAAATCTAAACTTTTACTCATCAGTCTAAAAACACATTTTCATTTATTGGTTCATGTCAGATTTCTAGATTGTGTTCAGTTTTATTGTTCAGCCATGACTCAGAAGCATCTGTAATTTCTTTTGTTATCTGTGTAAGTATTATAGAGGGTTGGTTTTGAGAAACATACAACATTTGTTTGCTGTGAGGGAAGTTCACCACTTGGGATCTTGTTGTACCAAGAACATTGTTTATATTAGAATTGTTCTTTATAAGCAGACACATTTTTTATGGGTTTTTGTTTGTTTGTTTGGTGGGTTGGATTTGTTTTGGTTTCTTTTGAACAAGTCTATAAATGAATTTCAGATTTCAAAATCAGCTCTAACGTAAGTAGCATAATAAGAGGTTGAATAGATGCACATGGCTGATTTTATGTTTCCTTCCTTTATTCATTCCTTCTCTCTTCTTTTTCATTTTGTAGTGAGAGAAATCAGTCCCTGGGGGGCCTATATTAAGTAAGTCAGCATCCACAACTGAGCCAGGGCTCCAGATTTTGGTGCTATTTGAATGAAATGAAGTTTTCCATTCAGACTAACTGTTGAGTTTCGTTAAGGAGACAGCCACTCTGACCACCACATGTCACAATTAAAGACGAACTTCAGAATAGCACTTATTAAATAAATTCTTAATTGTAACTTAGTATAAAGTAAAAATTCTAAATATGCTAGAAGGAATACATTCAAATTAAAGTCAAATGTTTTTACTTTGTCTTTGGGATTATAATATAATTACAGTATTTCTACCTTCCTTTTCCTTGCAAATCCTCCCATATATTTCTCATTCTTTTCCAAATTTCTTCCTTTTCTACTAATTTGTTTTTGTATGAATGTGCAAACATATAAATGCATATGTAGATCTCATCCATTTCTCTGTTCTTGGGCAATCCCTGTGTCTTTCTTAGGGTCCTCTTTACTAGGTAGCCTCCCTGGAGTTGTGAGTAGCAGTCTAGTCATCCTTTGCTTTACATCTAGTATCCACCTATGAGTGAGTACATACCATATTTGTCCTTCTGAGTTTGGGTTACCTCACTCAGGATGATATTTTCTAGTTTCATCCATTTTCCTGCAAACCTCAGGACGTGAGAGGGGGTAATGAAGGGCGAGGGTCGGGGGAAAGAGAGCTTGGGGGAGAGGGAGATCCCAGCTGAATCAAGAACAGAGAGGGAGAACAAGGAAAAAGAGACCATGATAAATGAAGACCCCATGGGAATAGGAAGAAGCAAAGTGCTAGAAAGGTCCTCAGAAATCCATAAAGATACCTCCACAACAGACTGCTGGCAATGGTCGAGAGAAAGCCCGAAATGACCTACGCTGGTGATCAGATGGCCAAAAACCCTAACTGTTGTGGGAGAACTCTCATCCAATGACTGATGCAAGCAGATGCAGAGATCCACGGCCAGGTCCCAGGTGGAGCTCCAGGAGTCCAATTGGCGAGAGAGAGGAGGGATTATATGAGCAAGAGATATTGAGACCATGATTGGAAAAAGCACAGGGACAAATAGCCAAACTAGTGGAAACACATGAAATATGAATCAATAGTTGAGGATCCCCCACGGAACTAGATCAGGCCCTTTAGATAAGTGAGACATTCAATTAGCTTGAAATATTTAGGAGGCCCCCAGGCAGTGGAACTGGGACCTGTCCTTGGTGCATGACCTGGCTTTTTGGAACCTAGGGCCTATGCTGGGACACTTTGCTCAGCCTAAGTGAAGGGAGGAGGGGACTGGACCTGCCTCAACTGAATCTCCCAGGCTGAGCTGAATCCCCAGGGGAGTCCTTGCCTTGGAGTAGGTGGGAATGGGGGCGTGTATTGGGGGGATGGAGGCGGGAGGACGGAGGACAGGGGAATCCATGGCTGATATGTAAAATTAAATTAATAAAAAAAAGAAAGGCAGAGAAAAAATAAAAATAAAAAATGCATATGTATTCTTAAATATAAGTGAATCATGTCCATATAGTGTTCTTGTATGTGTGTTATCAGGCTGATCATTTGGCACTGGACAACCATTAGGTGTGTTCTTCCCTTGGGCAAAACCACCTTTCTTCTGACTTTCCTCATTCTTTATGTAAAGTTGAAAACCCTTGGGCTTCCTCCTGTCTAGTTTGGTGTTTCCATTGGCATCATCCTTGTTCAAATGAAGAACTTAAATTTATGTCTTCTAGTAAATTCATTATATTTTAGTTTATTTGCTTTGAAAATTTCAAGCACACATATAAGATGCTTTGATCAATTCCAAATATGTGAATTCTCAAAGAATAAATTTTTAGAAAAATATTTTTTAGTTAGTATATTTCATTTGGTGTGTAGGGTGTGAGTGTGTATGTGCGTGTGCGTGCAAGTGTGTGTGCATGCACATACCACACTGTGTCTGGAAGTCAGTGAAAAGTTTGTGGGAATAAGTTGGTTCTCTTCTTATGAACTGTAATGCTCAGGGATTAAACTAACATCATCATCCTTGACAGCAGGCAGTTTAATCCTGTAAGTCTTTTCACTAGTCCACTTTAAGACATATTTTAAGAAGGGTGTATGAACTGAAGAAGATCTAGAAAGGGTTACTCTCTCTCAGTTGGACAGTGTTGGAAATTAAAAACCAAAATTCCTAATGCTTAAATGATTGTGTGCTGTGGAAATAATATTTACAAGTTATTTATTCAAAAAATAGGAGAGAAAATAGAGGGAGATATACACGAATATTGTTTATAAAAAGATCCTGAGCCAGGCAGTGGTGGTGCATGCTTTTAATCCCAGCACTCTGGAAGCAGAGGCAGGAGGATCTCTCTGAGTTTGAGACCAGGCTGAGCTACAGAGTGAGTTCTAGAAAAGGCTCCAAAGGTACACAGAGAAACCCTGTCCCAACTCCCCTCCCCCTAAAAAAACGTTGCTGAAATTTAACTAAGGGGAAAATCACACATATTTGTAGACAAAGACAAAAAGTGAAAAGTTGGAAAGGAAAAAGATTCAGGAAGTTCTTTTTGAATGTAGAGTTCAAAAAGCTCCTCAGAAACAGAATAGGTAGACTATACAGCCTGACAATGAAGCAAACTTGTGTGAATCTTTCCTGTCTTCTCATGGAATCCCTGTGTGCTGTCTGTATCTTCTTATAGATTTATAGGCCTGTTCCGACTTTGCCTTAATGAAAACCGTGACCACAAATGAAAGCACTGATGTCATCTGTTGCTTAACTTCTTTTCGTCCCTAAGGAACACCCTGTAGAGATACAAAGACAAGCACAAAGCAAACTTGGTATGTGTAGTGGTTGGTAGAGTAAGGGAGCCCACAAACTCAGAGTTGTGGTGATAAATTCTACAGAGTCAAAATGTTTCCAGGAAAGCCTGGAATCTTGATAAGGAAGGAATCATTGTAGGTGAGGTGGATGGAAGCAACATCTGACAAAAATATTAGGAAAATATGAATTTTAGCACATTAAAAAAGCTAAAATGATTGCCGTCTTCAAAATACAACCACACATAAAATTATATGAGTAAAGCAAAATCTAAAACCTCTCCTTTTCACAGTTAGTATGAATAGTAGATACATTCTAATGTATATGAAAATTATTATTTTACAGTTGAAAATGTATGTGCTTCATGACTGCATAATCTTGTATTTATAATTTCATATGATGCTTGGTATTTAGAGGTGAAGGTGAATCTCTTCTGCCATCAGCTGCATAATAGATTTCAGAAGCATTGATTTTTCAGTGGAGACAGAAGTCTTGCTGTAACAATGCCTCAGACCACTAGACAGGAAAAGAGTGGGTGATGAGGCACTTCATTACGAGAGTGCAAACTAGTTCTTCATGCACCAAAACCATTAAGAATACTTTTTGTCAAATTTATCACCTTGTGGTAGATAAGAGAAAATCAAAAATCAAGGATAATTGCAATTTCTCAGAAATAGTCTCCATTTGTTCCAGCTATATAGCTTCCTTTTATGATTCAGTTTGCAGTTATTAAATAAAATACATGAAAACCAATACTATCTAAAATTTTCTAATTTGAATGTAGGAACCATTTAAAACAATTATTAAAGAAAGAATCTCATAAAAACTTTTGGTGCCTAAACATTTAGAAAGAGATAAATATACTCATTATTTATTCAGCTGAAAACAGAATTTGTAAATGAATTCTGTATTAATATTGCTGTTTGATATGCATTACTAATCCTACTTTCTCCCAGGATTATAGCAAACTTATGTATAACCATAAATAGACATTAAGGTAAAATGAGGCAGCCTGTGAAATAAACCAAGAAAAAAAATAGTTTTCATAAAAGTTCTCTTATTTCCAACTTAGTTGCTTTAACAAGAAGTAATTTACTCTGAATATATTCACTTCTTTTCCTAAAATTATCACTCAGTGATATTTTAAAATCAAAATGTAGAAGGATTTTTAAAGTATCATAGAATTATATCTCATATTTTATGTTTATATGATAGTAAAATGTTATATTTACAAGTTGTTTTAGTTTAATTTCTGTTTCTGTGAAAAATACTTTCACCAAAACCAACTTAAGAGGATTTGTTTGTTTTATATTTCCATATTGTAGTCTACTACTGTGAGTAAGCCAAGATAGACACCTAAAGCATTACATCCACATTCTCAAAGAGAATGCTTCCTTGATCTCTGCTGATTGTCAGCTAGCTTTCTTCCCTTTTATAAAACTTCAGGCATGTCCTATGTGATG